TGAATAGTCTCCAATAAATAATAATATATATAACATAGAACGGGGTCGCTCAGCAGCACAAGATGGGAAGTGGGAGATGTGATGAATGATGGAAGTTGTGAAAGCGGATGACGGGTGGTTTTGAAAAGTGAAGTTGGAAAATTCTGCAAGTCGAAGATGATAAACGAGAGGAGTGTTTTTCCAACATTAAGAGATGTTTCATTGTTTGTTTTCTGTCTACTTAGGGCCAGAAGATCATTGTATGTGTCCCGTGCAAAACTAAAAGTAAACATTGACATTTTGTCACCTGAATTTTGTGAGTTTCGAGAGTCATGTAAGTCACGCTTGTCCTGCTGTAGTTTTTTTTTTTTTTTTCCTTGACCTAACTTTCTGTGAAGTTTTATTTTAAAAGGGGCAACAGGGGGGTTACACACAGCCATGGTAAAAAAAAAGAGAGAGAGAGAGAGAGAGTGAGAGAGAGAGAGAGAGAGGTCACAACGTCCCTATAGCCTCAAAAAGGAACCACTGCAGTAAACATTTTGACCCCCACCTGCCGTTACTGAAGGTGTAAAAAGGTATTTATATAAATACAGTATATGTGTATATAAATATATATTTATGCATCCGCAAAAGGCAATCAGCTTTATGGAGACAAAGGTTGTGGAGACTGTCCAGTACATCCTGTCCTTGTCTGGGCTGCAGCTTTTAGTAGAGCATTTCATAATTTTCCACAAATTAACGATCGCACCAGTTAACCATTGGTGTTGGTTATGACACCCGAACAAACATTGTAAAGAATTTACCAATGTGTAATCTCGCCCGTTAACAGATATGAAAACAATGAATGCTCTTCTCGCAGGCAAATACACAGACCACATGCAAATAAATCACCAATATTTATTATTTTTTTATGTTTATATCAAAATACAAATGATTCATTTGTAACAGCAGTTATATGAATGCAAATCACTTCGTACCAAGATAATTATTAGAAATCAATTATCTAAATTGTTGTTGTTTTTAAATAGCCATGTGCTATCGCTTTAAACACGGCCCAAATAACACATAAACAAGTAACATAATTCATCAGGGATTCCAACAAAGTCAAAACATGGTAATATGTTTATGTAAAACATATATTTAAAGATTATTATTCACAGAGGTATCTCTCATTCTCCCAGCAGCGGCGAGCCCGCTAGCATCAATACAAACAGCACACCGCAGTTTGTTTTTTTAATATTATTAATCAGAGCTCCAGCTGTCACTGTTGTTGAGGTTAAATACTGTATCTCTCCTGCCCAGTTCTAGGAAGGCAGGAATCTCAATATGGTTGCATGTTTTTATCTTGTTGCATGTTTCTTAGAACTTGGAGTGTGCCAAAGAATATCACTTCACAGCAGGAAATCCCGAAACTCGAGTGTCATAAACTTATTAAAAGCATAACATCATAACAGCTGAAGCTCCCGGACGCCTTCATGCAGACTTTTGTTCCTGTTTAGTGTTAAATCTTGTGGATACTCTTTGGTCGTGCAATCAGAGCGTAGCATTGAGCGACTGGATAGGCGATAGGTGCGCAGTGGACCTGTTCATGTGGTGCGCCCATTCCGGGTACGCGTTCAAGTCGAACATGGCGACGCCCCACGTGTTCATGGCCAGCGACACAGAGAGAATGCCCAGGATGTTCATCACTACGCCAGTTCTCACCTGAGAAAACAGCAAATGAAAACACGGAGGTAGAGGCGATTGAAAGGTCCGCTCAACGTCCGATGCGAGGATCTTACCATGTCTTTGACCATGAGATGTCCTGATGCAAAGGCGATGGAGTTGGGCGGCGTGGACACTGGCAGCATGAAGGCATATGAACATCCTATTGTTGCAGGTATCATGAAGTACAGAGGGTTCACTGAGACGTGAATAGCCTGCAAAGACAAAGACAAATCCAGCAGGATGTAAATCATTTCACACCTGCACTGGCGCTTCAATGTTGCAAACTTATTTAATATGGAAAAGCGGCGTTTAAACCCACAAAGCTTTGAAATTAAAAAGGTTGAATATGTCGGCCTGCGACACAACGACTTGATTTATCTGTTTTGTGGAGAATGAGGAGGCCGTAAAGAAACTGCCTTTTGTTTGCTGTGGAACAGGACATGCGGTCTGATGCCAGCAGCTCTGTAGGCTATGGACATTCTGGGAATTACTTTGGTCTTTGGTCATTAGACTTTATCCTTTGTGGGCCATGCAAGTTTGTACAACATTTAACGGTAATCCATTCAAATAGCTGTTGAAGAATTTCAGTCTGCCTACGGCCATTTTTACAGCTTTTATAATATGACAGTTAAATCTAAATGAGAGAATTCTAGGGTTTGGGTTTATTTTGTGTTGAGGTATCGCTCTCGTAATTTGGAGGGAATTGTATTCGGTTTAGAGTACTGACCAGTATGAAAAGTTGTACCCAGACTAATTAAAAGCAACATCTCCGTTAACTCAGTTTCCCTGTGATTTTGCAGATTTTCAATGAAATCTATAATCTCAAAATGTCTGAATTTAGTTAATATGAATGACTGTTCAAGCAAAGCCCTGAAAGGTTGTGGTTCAATAAGTTTTTCATTCTTATAATAACTCAGTCCGTAAACAATTCTCCGTTGCAAAGTACAAAATCAGGCAGATAATGATTACTGAAAAGAGCAGTTAATGTCCAACGGGCAGCAAACAGAAGAGGATCGATTGCTGGAGTTAAACAGCTCTACTGAGCCTTTGACAAACATAAAGAACGAGGTCAGAACCACGTTCCCTGTCAACTTTATGAGTTTCCACAGCTTGTCTTGTAACTGAGTGTGCATGTTCATCTACCTGACTGTCACATCAATCATCAACAGAAACATATCACCCGCGATGCGTCCGTCTTACCAGTTCAGCAATGACGGGTAAAAATATGATAATTGTGGCGGTGTTGCTGGCGAACTCGGTGAAACAGGCTAAGAAGGCAGTGATCAACATCACAGCTGCAGCGGGAGGGACCTCGGCCAAAGGCTGGAGGTGGCCCCCGATCCATGTGGCGAGTCCAGACTCCTGCCGAGGGCCACAAGATTGGGGTCACAGGTGAGAGATCAAATCTCAACATAATAAAGCAAAGTGGAGACCGGAACCAAAAGAGAGCAGAGCAGCACGGAGCAAACTGCAGAGAACAGAGATTGCATTTATTACACCGATTTATGTCAAGTCAACTTTTAAAATATACAGTCACTAAGCTAAATAATTTACTATTAACATGTATATATTTAGATATGCAAAGAGGTGTGCATTGTAGGTGGAGAACAGTCAAAGCCCCCGGACTACTACGATAAATCCAGAAGGTCCTCTGTGGGGTGTGGAGGGAATTGGGGGTGGTGGGGGGGGCACATGTTCTCTCATGTTCACATGGAATGGGATTGTAACAACATGCTTACCTCACAAGCTTTAGCCATAGCAAAGCCGCCCCCGAGCAACAGAATGATATTCCAGGGAACAGAGTCCTGCGCTTTCTTCCACGATAAGAGAGGTACATACGGAGTGTTTGATGCTGTGGAAAAATAGGGGGAGAAACCAGCAGTGATACATTTAATACAATATTTATTTATGATGAAATATGTACATATACTGTATATTTATACTGCAACATGTGTTCAGACTGGTGTCTGCTGATACAATGTGAGATTCAGAATAGATCAAATCACGATTTACTTCATGTAAACATACTTAATCAATGCCATATTCATTTTTAAAACATTCACCTGAAAAACAAAAATAAACCCAAAAAATGTGAGTGAACTGAAAGAGGTTCAGTGTTACTATAAAGGTACTAAGTTATTCCAGTAAAAATGCAATCAGCCTCTTACTGAATAAAACCAAGCCATAAATCCAGCACGTTTTATTTATGTTTTTTGCATTTTGATGGTTCTTACTTAGTATCTGTATCCTACGAGATGTGTGTTTTGGTGAGATAAGGAAGAAATGTTCCATTCTGGTTGAACAATAAAGTTGTATTCTTGACCTACATTGAGACACAAATGAGCCCCAGGATCTGCTTCTTTTTTTCTCTCTTGCATCCAGCAGTTTATTTGACCAGCTGAACAAAATATACACAATCGCACCAACACACACTCACACGTGTCTCACACACACTCACACGTGTCTCACACAGCGAACCGATGCGTACAAACTGTACTCGCACACATACACAAACAAAAACCCCAAAGTGTGACAACATATTTTTGAGAGATTATTCTAATCACAGAAACAGAGAAACTACAGTTTCAGCTCCAGACGGGAAATGTGCTCAGACTTTAATCTACATTAACATTCCTTGACATGTTTGCGGTTTTTGCAATAGTTGCAATTGAGACACAGAGTGAACGTCTTTGAATCTTTACTAACATTTGTTCATCAATATTAACTTCTGAGTGTCCATAAACTTCTTACCAGTTGCTTCCAACATGTGTATGTGCACATATCTATATATGAGGTGTGTTGTTCACAGTGAAATCTCACCGACCTTGAGGGTCAAACCACCAGCTCAGAGAAGGTTTCTGCGACGGGAAGAAGAACAACATGGACACGATGATCACCCCGGTGACGGCGTCTGAGACGTACCTGAGGGACAACGAGGGGGGGGGGGGGGGGTCATTATCAGAGGCAGAAGATAATAAACTAATATCTCTATATGTAAAAATGTATAATTTCCAAACAATAAATGATATCAGAATTGCACCTTTCTTACCCTTTTTTAAAAAACACAGACCAGCCGGGAATAAATTTGGGGTCTCTTGTGAACAGCAAAACGGCAAACAACACAAAAAAGAAAGCGATAGATCCCTCTGCAAAGCTGAAGAGGGAAGGGGAAGTCAGTTAAAATGCTCTGCGATAAAAAAAATGAAATAATTACACACATTCAACCCGTATCGCAAGAGATTTAAAGACATGCACAAGTCCTCACTTTATGGGCCCTAGTTTCCTGTAGTCTTCCCGTATCAGAGCCTGTGCTCGGTTCTCGGCCTGCGCTCTCCGGTCGTGTCTCGTGAAGCACAATCTGCGTTAAAAAAAAACTTGAAACTTGCTGTTCTCAATATTTACATGGATAAACAGATCATGGGAATTCAGACAATATGACAGCCGACAAAAATGAAACCATTGTGACATTTTGCCTTTTGGCCCAAATATTATTTTTAAAATGAGTTTAGAAATCTGCAATCAGCAAACATCTGACCCCCCATTACCGTGAATTCAACCCCCCGTGGAGAAACGCTATCCAGATCCATCCCAAAAACAGGAAAAGAAGCATGAGCGGGAAGGCAAACGCAAACCAGGAGCCAAAGTTGATGACGTCGCAGTCTGGGAAGTAGCTGTGAAACAGGGAAAAAAGGTGCTGTCAAACTGCTGGTGAAAGAGTGTCTTTGACGGTCAAAAACAAACAGTTACCTTTTCAGCTGTCCAATCAGAATGAGGTTGGGCGCGGTGCCCGTCAGCGTGGCGGTCCCTCCGATGCTCGCTGCGTAAGGAATGCAGATCAAGAATCCTTTCCACACCTTCAGCTGGTACTCCGCCTCCGATCGGATCTCCTCAGCCGTCCTCGTGTCGCTCTGCTCCGTCCCATCCATCCTATTTAGAAGTTTTAAAAGGCATAATTATATCCAATGGTCTTTGGAAGAAGCACATGAACTCCACCGGTGTTTGGAGCAGACTTTTTCTTCATCAACAGAGTTTAAAAGTGACATGTTCGCATGATACCACTAGAATAAATATGGAAACCAAAGCCAACAGCTGGTTAGCCTAGCTTAGCACAATGGGAACAGAGGACAGCCTTTATTTTGAGCAAAGCTAACAATCTCACTAATTACCATCCCATGCATCTCTCTTTTTCAAAAAATTCCAAAATGTTTGGTTTTACATGAGGTATGAGAAATGTTTGTTAACTCTGGGCAGGAAACCGCACGCAGACATTAGGATGGTTTGAGGATGCACAGAGTGCGATCTCAGGGTTTTTCTCACCCGTCCATTGACAGTATTTGTTTTTCTGAGGGCACTGAGGGCAGTGAATGCAGCCTTACAGTCCGCTGGCCTGAAAGGAAGTGAAACAAAGAGATTAGCTTTAGCTCTGTGTGAAAAGGATGTTCTGCACTGATTATATTTATGACTTTACGCTCATCCTGTCACATAAATAGCTTACCACTTGATTATTGGCTAACTTTGTATTCAATTGGAAAGACTATACAAAGTTCACATCTTAGGTCATGTATTACAGAACCGGGGGGCCGAGCTTAAAACAACACAATCATCTTCGTTACACATTTCAGCAAAGTCATCTTTGGGTCACTTTAGAATATAAATAAAACCGGCATTATTATACTATTTTTTTGTATGCGGGGCATTAGAAAACATTTGTTTATTAGTTGAGTTTCTGAACACTTTAACAAAGTAAATTAAAACATTGACTCTCTTTTCGCTCCAAGTTTGGTCTCCTCTAAACTCCTGAACAAAACATTGCTCAGTAAGTCGATCAGAACCGGAGGGATGAAGATAAGCTGAAAGCAGCTGCGAGATAAAATCAGTACCACTGAGGGAAACTCACTAATCAATATAACTTTCACATTGCAGAAAGTATACTCAGCCACTGTTATAATAGCGACATGAATTAGTTCTCCTCTGAATAAAAAGACACATTGAGCAACTTACCGTTTATTATGTCACTGTCAGGGTCCTCCGTGGACTTGCACTTCTCTTTCAGGGTCTCCAGGTCCCCAAACAGACTCTCCAGGATGGCGTTGGCGATGGGGAGCATCATGGCTGTGGTGGCGGTGTTGCTGAGCCACATGGACAGGAAGGACGAGGTCAGCATCATTCCCATTATCAGCCTAGGAGGGAAACTCAAATCAGTAACTCAAATCACGGTCACGGTCACGGATGCTGACCGGCAACGCGTTCTTTGCGGAATGAGGAGCACGTTCACGCGTTCAAATCCCACAGAAAGTGGCTCCAACACTGAAGACATACATTTATATTTATTCATATTAATTATAATAAAGAAGGCGCACTTGCTCAATTCATGTACGTTTCCTGATATTTGTCGGAAATTATGGAAAATGATAGAATTTCACAAAACGCCTCACCAGGCTGGCTTCACGCCGACGATGGTGAGGACCTTCAGGGCGATTCTGCGATGCAGACCCCACTCCTCGATGGACGACGCCATCACAAGGCCGCTAAGGAAGAGAAAATTGGTTTCGAGGAAGTACTGAGGGCAGACCCTTTTGGATGGAAGGATCCCCAGAGTCGGGAAGAGGCAGACCGGGAGCATCGCTGTGACGGCCAGAGGAAGGGCCTCTGTGCACCAAAACATAGCCATCAGCGCCACCACATAAAGACATTTTCCCTCCTAAAAAATAAGCAACATGCGATTGTTAATGCACAGGCAAATACGACAATGAGCAAAACGGAGACAAAAACATTGAAAAATAAATAAAGAATGGTGCACATCGCCACTACAACTGCTGGTTTAACAAATTAATACTATTTAATTGTTTTTTATTGACACATGGAGCAAATATTGTCCTCGATTTGAAGCTTCTTTATTGACTACTTCTACTTCCTTGCCTCAGTAATATGCGTTTTACTGCCACTTTATTACATAAACCCAAGCAGGATTTAACAGCTCGAGTTTCTGCCTTTTTTGAAGCCACTTGTTAAGACTGCGGGATTTCTGCTTTTATTTAAGCAAAAGAGTGCGAGTTCCTCTCTCCGACAACCGGCGTTACAAATGTCTCACCTTCTCCGGAAGGGTGAAGAGCAGCGGCAGCAGCAGGAGAGGAACGAGCAGGAGAAGCAGCTGCTTGTGGACGCACCACAGCTTGTTGGACACCACGGAAATCTTCATCTCCCGACTGAGGGGTCGATCAGAGGCGACCGGAGGAGAAGGAGCCGCGGACTGTCCGAGAGGAGTAAAGGACGCACGCTGGAGCCTCTGTCCCACTTCACAGAGGATTAACTACGCCTACTTGTTATGTGCGGAGTAAATGTGTAAAAAAAAAAAAAAAAAAGAAAAAAAATACCAGGAGCGGGTTGGAAAGTAGAAAGAACTGCTGTAATTGTCAGATAATCTGACAATAATCTGACGGGAAATGCTTAACTCGCATGTGGATAAAATCGATACACACACAGCCAGTCTTGAGATGTGGCTGCAAGGTGCTTTTTCTCCCATTTCATGTGTGTGCACCCCGTTGGAAATGATGTGAGGTTTTATGGGGCAGGGTCGCCACATATCGCATAATTTCTCTTTTTTCATATTTCTAATATAATTTAATTTAATTACGAACAGGTGAGCTGCCACTTCAGTTATTTACATGTAATGAAAGCATGCTTTAAATGTTTGCAGTAGATTGATGCACTGAGGTTCACTCAGGATTCAGGTCAGACTTGATGCCCTTCAAAGGTGAGGTGTTGGTACATTGTGCAGCGCGAGCGATAATTAGGATCTGTTTAACTGCCTATAAGAGTTTCTTCTAGCGTTATAAGATCATTAGTAATTCAGAGGATTAGAAATGTATTTATGTTCTGATTATTTTTTGTGGATCATAATTAATTATCAGATACTACAGTTTCAAATGAGATCAAACTCAAACTATCTGAACAATAGGCTAAAACGAGGCCTGCATTGTAGAAAAGGCATGTTTTAACCCGGCCGTCCACCAGCAAAGTATGACTTGCAGCCCTTACAGGCTGGTTGATGAGTTGAGTTGGCAGCCAGCCGTCGGTGACGGTATAAATAAATAAATATATTTTTGGTTAGTTAATTGCATTGCCATTGTCTGAGTACCTGTTCTCTGTGTGATGACAACAAAGTTTAATGCTAGGTTTTTGGTTTACATTTTTGTTGTTTCTTCACAATCGTGTCATCCCAACGCAATACATTTTTGTCTACTTTGACAATGAGTTAATAAAAACAGTAATCTTTTAAGGTCAGGGTGAGTTTGAAGTAGCATGTTCTCGACAAAGGTTGAGGCATCTTAAAGGTCTTAAAATTACAGAAATTATTAACTTTCCTTCTTATCTCTAAGGTCACAAGGACGGATTTTTGACAGCACTCGTGATGGTTTTGATAAACCCACTGGTACACTGTAAAAAAGTGTGGGTCAGTTCAAGATTTCATTTCATCGGTAAAGTACAGAAACAACAGAACGATTATGAGCTTTAATTAAAGGCGTCACTTTCATGGGGCAAAGCGTGAGAAAAGAATGATGGTTGCTGCCGTTTTGAAAGCGTTTAGTTTGATGAATGTAAACAGATGCCTCATCCTCTCCACCAGGTCGTGATTACAGAGAGCCTCCATTGATGGTTCCTGCTGTGTCGTCCATGACGTTTATCTCAACAAAAGCATGATGGATATGGGTTAGTCTTTTAAAGGGGTTACCATTTTTATGTTATTGAGCGTCCTTGTTTGAATACGGGCATTCAAATGCCAAACTCTATGTTCATGCCGCTCGTCTGGGTTAACAAAAGGTGTTATTTAAAGCTCTTATCACAAACTTTCATTTTGTGCTGGCCGTCCCAACGTGGGCTTTCCCTCGCACTGGACTTCCTTTACGTAAAAAAAGATGACATCATGCATTTGGTCTCCTCCACTGGTATCCCAATGCCTCAGCTCTCCAGCCCCAACCTTTATATCTTCGACCACCTGGATCACCACTGATATCGACATCTATCATCCTCATCCCAAAAGCCAGGCGCAGTATTTTCTTCAGAAATCTCAAAACCATCTCCCTCCACAACTCTTTCGGCCTCTCTTGCCAGTACCACGTCTGCCTCCCCTTCCCCGGTATCTGATAACCCCTCCAATCTTATAAACTGCTACAACAACACACTCTCCCCCTGTCTTGATCAGCTGGCTCACATTGTTGTTTAGCTGACGCTTTTGTCCAACGTGAATTTTAACCATAAGGATACAAACTCAAAAGAACAAGAAACAACAAAGTGCATTTTCCTCAAATAAGCTAATTTACAATTTGCTACTGATAAGTGGCGTTATAAGTACAATTTAAGTTCTACAATTTGTTAGTCTTTTAGTCGAGTGTGAAGAGGTGTGTCTTTGGTTTGCGGGGGTGAAGACTCTCTGTGGTCCTGGTGTCACTCCACCCTCAAAGAGCCAGTTAGCGTCGTGGTTGAGGTAACTTTAACGTTAAAAGGGGAGCCGGGGTGGGTCTTCCTGTGAGGCGGATCGGATTGGGCTGCTGCAAAGGTTCGGATTGTAGGCTATTGCTGTAACATTGTGCAATGGAGGTTTTTCCCTTTTAACAATATTATCTGATGTAGTTGATAATAAAATTAATTAATAAGAAATGTTATATACAGCACTTATTGAAATTAATATTTCTTGCAGATCTGCCTTTCAAGAAAGACAGAATAAAGAATATCATAAATGCCAAATAAATATCTAAAAACAAATAAAAAACAACAGGTTGCAAACAATTTGTGACATCCTGTTGTTTGAAGGTTTTTTTGTCAGAGACCTGCTGTGGTTTTCGCCCTGATGAGCACTTCCCCGATGTGCATATAAAGTTTCCTATCCACATAACTGCAACAAGCAGTCTCATTGACTAGCGTGTACACTGTCAGAGCTTTACAAGACAAATCAATTGCAAAGTTAGATTATCATTTGATTGGGGAATTAAACGTAAAATTACATTAAATAAAATAAAAATGAATTCTATTCGTGATTGCATTTGAAATAAAATCATTAACTTGATGACTGTTCTTTTTATCATTTATACGTGTTTTCTGTTGTTTATTTAAGTGGTCAATGTATAATTTCATTGTCATGTTACAAAGTGTATCATTTCATACCGATTATATTAAACACTAATGTTTAGAATTATTCATCTGTCTCACTTCATGAAGCACGTCACACTGCCGTTTAAAAAACGGTTAGATTGTTTTTGAATGACTCTCGATTCGGTTGGTATTTCTTTCCGCTGAAGGTGGTGGTGCTGTCTGGGGAGGTGCCAGTAGGTGGTGATCTGTGCACATGTTCTGCACGCTATGCCTGCTGAGCTGCACTCAGTGTGACGCCTCTTTTATGATCCCAAATCAATATTTTCAACAAGCGGTGATGCATTTAACGCCTGTCTGATATTCATTTGACTTTGTAAACCGGCAGGAGGCCTCAGCGGTAGATGCTCTCTCCCCTACTGTGATGATTAGGGGATTTTACTGCAGGTGTCTGCAGGAAAAAAGCTTCTGGATTTCTTTACACCCCCACGCAGGGAAAGTCAATACAGACCATCTTAACGTCCAGCATTTTCACTTCACTTCTGATACAGGAACTGCTCAAAAGGGCTTCACCATATAAACGAAAAAGACTGAAAGTCTAGAGATGTTTCTGAGATGAGGTGAGTACAATATAGCCTTCATCTGATTGAGACTTGCTCAAACTGCACTTATCGGTCTTTGTGGTGCCAGTCCAAAGTGATATTCTCTTTGAGGATTGGATTCTTGACGGGCAGTAAAAGCCAATCATGAGGTGGTGGAAACTGGATGAAGCTGGGTGAAGCATTTGCAGAGTTTATTCAGACAAATTAAATGTATTATTTTACATTCATAAATAGATAAATCAAAACAATAATAACAAGCAGACAGTTGCAACTTACGGTTAATATTGGCATTTCAGACGTTTGTTAGAATCCCTGAGTAAAGTAGAGGTTAAGGTAAATTAAATGTTACAATATTCGTTATCATAATTTCAGCTACAGCTCATTTTAAACCTGAGCATGTGGAGGTTCTTGTGCCTCCTCTCATGCGTGTTCCTGTTAGTTATGAGAAGGTTTTTTGGTTGAGTTGTGTCTTTCATGCATCTTTCAGGAAAAAGGAAACTTGAGGTTTGGGCCAGCAGTTACACATTTGTACAAACCTAACTTAAACCTAAAGAAATACATGAATATCCCTGAAAGACAAGTAAAGTAGAATACTGAATAAAGAATTGCCAAAAATAAATTCACTTGCTGCTGACAGGTGATTTGTCTGAATCGTATGATTTCACAGTTCGGCTTCACCTCATATGCCGGCGTCGTCTTGAGGACCTCTTACAAACAGCTTCAATAACCTGAACAACGACAAAAAGGGACAAAGCATCAGACAGTTGTTTAACTGGAAAGAAGCCCACCCACTGAGTATGTCTGAAAAGTCCCTTGGAGGCAGATGGCTGTTAGAGGAAATGGTGCCTCAGAGAAGTCGCCTACAATATGTGCCTACACAAAAAAAGATGATCCGACTCCTCCAAATCACTGATGGTTAGAGATATAAACGCTATTTAGAATCTAATTGCCTTCTTTCTTTAGGTGTTCCTCAAGGATCTATTTTAAGCCCCAACCTTTTATTCTGCCTTGTATTTTGCAACATTTTTCACTTTCTTTATCCATAAAGAACTCAGGCCAAGTGTTTTGTGAACCAACGATTGTTTTGCAACCTGGAAAAATCTCAAACGATGCATGAAGAAAAAAAATAGTTTATTTACCCAAATGCCGAATAGAGATAAAGCGATTTTGAAGAGGGCGACTGCCATGTAGCCAACAACGCTGCACCAGGCTGGTATGTCTTGGTCTGGCTTGGAATGGGGCAACTCGGTAGTCGTCGCTGTCGTTTCAGGTCGGCTCACGCACTCTGTATTCAGACAAAGAAATCAGTCCATAAAGTAGATATTTAAGTGCAGACTTTATCATTACTTAAAAATCCTAAAAAATGTCTATGCTGACATATTTTGATCTGAAATATAGAAAGATATTTTTAAGAGATAACGTTTGTCTCTTGTTTTACATCTTGTAAGAATGGTAAAATATGTCTGTGATGAAAAGATGCAATGACTCAATCACATTGAGAGTTCTCAACTTTTGGTCCATCTTCCAAAGCTGTAATGAAACACCTCCAACACGGTTTATTTCTAAAAATGTGTACATATTTAACGCTCTTCTCCCATCACATCGAAACGTTTTGGCAAACTTGACTAAGGTTTAATAGAGATTCATTCCAATCGTGAATGTGGCTATTCGATCATATACGAAGAAATTGTGATAATAACTCATTGTTTGTTGACTTAAACTTTTGCACATTGCACACTGTGCCCTGCAACTATTACTGTCAATTATGAATCTGTCGTGCACCTCTTGTCAATAGAAATTTAGAAAGTATATCGAAAAAAAGCTTGTCCTTATACCCTCTAAATATTTGTATAGCTCGGTTCAGATGCTTCAATTGAGTTAAATTTCAGATGAAGAATGGTGGAAATTAAAGACAAAGCTTACCATCGACCTTTAGGTGGATTACAAAATTCCGATTTCTACCCCCGACTTTCGCAGTTATATCACATTCGTAGGTGCCTTGGTCTTCAGGTGTCACACTGGGCATCAAAAGACTGAAATTCTCTCCAAATCTGGGCTCTGGTGAGCGAATTACGTTTTTGAACAACGTAGTAATATTTTTTACACTCCTGATCATACCGAGCCTTTGCTTCGTTTCAGAGAGCTGTTGAAGGTAACAAACAAAAAAGAATTTGTTCACATCAGATTAGATGAGAGTCAAAGAAACACAAGCCATCCATCTAAATGATCCCGGCTCAAATTGAATAACATCGATGGATTGATTCACTGACCTTGTGCCATGTAAGGGAGTAGAAGTCCAGGCTCTCGATGTCAGGAACTAGACACATCAGTTGAGCATCTTCATGGCAGCGTGTGTTGATTTCTAGCTGAGTCGCGTAGTGCAGCAACAGCAGCTGAGGTGATCAACCCGCAAATATATTCAGTATAATATACACAACATATCAGTGTACGACAGCCTCAACAAACTGAACGACTTCTGTCCAAGAAGGAAATGATCAATGACATCAATAAAAATGTTGCAAGCTTGAAATTTAAACAAAAGTCAGTTTTAACTCACCTTAATGAGCAACACCTTCTGCAACATCTTAACATCATGTGTCACTTGAGTGAGCTGCAACAAGTAGTGTTTCAGTTTCCACTTCAAATTAAGCCCCTCATTTCCTGTAAATAGACCACAGATCCACGTGTTTATTGCCTGAGAAAATATGCCATCAAGTGGTGCTATTGAGAGATGCATCGTTACCAGATTAATAATCATATTTAAAAATGTATGTATATGTATATATAAACCTGCTGGTACAGACCATCCAGTATATCATGGTGTGTTAAGAACGTAAGTAAAGTGTTATCTTCATTCTTTGTGTGACGTGTTAACATCACTTGGCTGCCTGCCTGTCCATTCCATCTTTTCTGCTGCCACGTGGATGAACGATGAAACCTGCAAGCTTCTCATTCAGACCACCAACTATAATGAAAGAAATATCCCACCACCACCCCCTTGTTTGTGTCTCTTCTGTGCTCCCACTAAATCAATGAAAATTTAGATTTTGCTGACCTCCAGTGGCTTAGTGGTCGACTTGCATTTGAAAAAGAACTTGTTTGTACAACTTGTGTTGACAGTTACAAGGAAACGTGAAAACCTGGTCATCACAGAGACATACAAGACACTTAAATGAAGATATATTGGCAAACATCTGGAAGATATACTGTACTTGGTTGTTCTCATCAAAAGGAACAGAATATCTCACCTAGATGCAGCTATTTAGAGGTGTTCTCTGAGGTCACTGTCGGATGTGGTTACAGGTGCTAAAAGGCGTAACAGACACTTTCAAACGGAGAGCAACAGAGGAGAACAACACAAGAGTCAGCACATTGAATGCATATGACATAAATGGGACATTGTGACTACTAATAACAGCAGCGTTGGATACCGTAGAGTATGTATAATCTATAATACAAAGCATTAAAGGTATTTGTAATAGTAGTTGTAATATCACTTAAAATAACGGTAGTAGCAGTAGGTGGCAGGAGGAAGGATCCGGCTCCAGATGGAACCACGATCAATAGAAAGCCCCAAAGTTTGGGTGGCCTACAAAGTCCCCCGGCACTGAAGACCTACTGCTGCAGTGGAACATCGACATGGCTGCTCCAAGCCAAAGTCTTTAACCTCCTCTTACATGCAGTGAGTGTGTCCTCCCCCCTGGACATGTGATGATGAAGATAAGACCAATCACAGGATAAGGTATGTGGGTCAGTGAGATATGTCTCCAATGTCTGCAGGCTCACGTACATCACACACACACACACACACACACACACACACACACACACACACAACTACATGAGGCTTGCTCATCCTGTTGTTTTCATCTCAGGGAACTCCCCATTGTCTCCCTTCGGGCATATTATTTGTATGTGTCGCTCTTGTTGACAAAGGAGGTCGATATACGGGTATTAATAGCAAAAGGGAAGAGTGAGGTCTTTGGACTCCACCATCTGCATTAAAACAATACCTCATTCAGCGGCAGCTGGCACAGCAAGCGCTGGGATGTAGACACGTACCGACGTTAACACGGTACATCAGCGGACGCGAGGATTATTCAGCCGCTTGCTTTTGGACACCGGTAACTGCAGCTGTGAGCAGTTTTAGATTTATGACAGTAATCTAAGCATTGAAAATGTGCAAATACAAAAGCACGGCGCTTATCGCATTTTTGAAATATCTCCCTCTCACCAAATCACTGCAGCTGCATTAAAACACTGTAATCAAGCACAAGGGAGTTTTACAGCTACGGGCCTACAAACGTGCTAAAAGGAAAAGGTGTGTGTGTGTAAAGGAAGTTCATAAGTTGCGATACTCTTATGGCCCAAGTGTTGGTTTGAATGGGAGCGAGTGCATGTGCCATGTGTGCATGCATGTATGTACGCATGCTCTCTGTGCTGTACTTAAAGGGTGTTGCACGCCACAATAAATCCCAGAGGTTGTTAGCACGCCCAGCTGCTGGCTGAGGTCTCCATGTTTCTGTCAGCGAGGTTGTTCACTGCGCACTCTGCAGCCTGATTGAGGAAATCCTCTGTTTGCTGAAATGAAACGTCCCAATGGTTCCGCCGTCTCTCCCACAGGTCCTGTACACGGAGACTTTCCCATGAAGAATGCGCATGTTTACCGGGTTTTGACTGATATATAGCTCTTTGATGGGCCTTAACACTACCAGGGATTTAGTTGCTGGGGAGGCGGATGGGGGATATTTTGAGATAATTCTCTTTTCTTTTTTATTCAACCCAGATTTTACCACTAAAGTTTAACCTGAAGCCAAATCCAATCCTTCCTTTTTGTTTTTATGTGTTTGCTGCTAAATAATGAAGGCAGCAGATATCATACATTCAACCTTTAAGGCACAATGGCCAAAAGAAAAATCAGTATCAAGTATTGCAATGTGGTGCTCATATTTGAATCTAGACTATGAAAAACACAAACTAGTGCCATACATATTCTATATATACCGCATGCAGTCAGACATGCCCGAGAGGATGAGCAGAAGGCTTCTCCTGTTGTATGTGGATAATACGTTGGTTACTACAGTGTCTGCCTGAAATCTTTCCTGCCTTTGTCAGGCTGCAGAGCTTCATCAATCTGCCTGTTCAATTGTTTGTTTAAGGAAGAGAAAAAAAGGATCAGTCTGTATTGCTGGATTCTCACCTCACTGGATTCTCACTGGGCTTTGGCAGGCTGCTCGGTGCTGGAGGTCCATTGTTCGAGCGTGCAGCAGAACACAGCCGTGTGACGACGATCTGTATTGTTCCCTAATTTCTTCTCTGGGATTTCCTCTTAGCAGAACACCCCCCCCATTCCACCCCCACCCGCCCATCCTATTCAATGCACAGCCCTCAATCATCCTCCCTCTGTCTGAAGGCCCTTGCCAAACTCTCTGGCACATGAAAACAATTGTTCTTGTATGTTGGAGGAGACACGACCGTCTCCTCAGACGGTATTTTCTCCCCCACAGAGGCCCAGCGGACTGTCGGGCAGACAGCCCCCCACCTTTTGGAAAACTGGTAGCGTTCAGTAAAGTCGGAAGCGAGGTATCAGAGACCTCAGCCACAAAATTGACTCAGAACCATTAATATCTTTGACATGCGGGGGGGGGGCAAGGGGCCATCTCCCCGGCCGGTGAGGGGTTGAAATGTGCTGAAACAGACTGCGAGAGCAGGAGATATTAAAATATTACCATGTGCAGGTTTGTCTCCAACAAGAGCTCTCTGGCAAGACCACAAAATGCTGACGGAAAGCACCCATCTGGGCATGAGGACTGCGCTCCCGTTCCTGCATCGTCCATCTTGGTTTTTGTCTTTTTCTTCTTGGCGAGGCAAAGACGTTCAACAGTCAGAGCAGTGATTTGTGGTCAATGTGTGGAGATGTTTTCCTGGAGCTATTGCTCAACAGGAGTGTGTCCTAAACGCTTCCTCTTCTTTGTTTCTCATTTATGCTCAAATAACTCTCACAAAAGGTAAAATCACACACTTTACACACAAAATATAGGTAGAAATCCTGAGGAAACAATAGGTTGTGTAATTCTTTAATTTAATGTCGGGTTATTCATCAAAATACATATGGAAAGTGAAAAAGTGTTATAATCTACTCGTACAATAAGTACAATTCGACATCTTCAATGCACTGTTACAAACATACATTATGAGTATTTGCAGTTTGTCACAGTGGCCCCTTTGTAAGACAAATGGTATAGTAGTACATTATTTTACCATTATTTGGGGTTGATAACTAATAACCAATTGCTAGCGGGTAAAGCGAGCCCAGTACTCCACTGGTGCTATTTATTTAAGACAGAAATGTTTGTGACCTTCGGATCTGCATGAAAGGAAACATAAATCTTCCCCTTCTCTCTTTAGTCTCTCTACTTAATGTATAATTTAGTTTGCAAGAGAGAGTTCAGGTTTGATATTTTAAAACACAACAACAATTCGTAGAGTAGAAAAAGTTCATTCAAGAGAGGAAACAAGTGTTTGGTTCTTGTTGTTTCCATTTTAATTAAAAATGAACCATATTTTTACCCCAAAACAAATCCAATCCATCAGTAATTTCTAAAATCCCATGAGTGATTTCTCATCTCAGGTCATAAAACTGGCAGCTGGAGGAGGAACCGCCGTCTAGCTTCATTTGGTCTGCGCTGAAATTCTTCCTGCTGAAGAACCTCTTTTGGGATTAAGAGATGCGAGCGTCCGAGGAAGAGGAACAACTCACCAAAGCCAGGCAGTAAACCTCTGCAGTGGCCCCCAGGTGGATCCTCGCCTGTCAGACATGTTAAACACATCCACACTGACCTTATTCCTCCCTCATCTCCTCTGATGGTCTCTGCCATCAATTTGGTACCTGTCAAAAAGTCTACTTCCGAATTGGTTGAACACTCGCTACGTTGGGCGGCTCTCACTAAGAAAGCAGCACCGGAGAGCCGTACATCTGGGTCCCAGCGCCGGATGAAGTCAGGACTGGCGCTGACCCAAAGCCCGCCGCACAGAGAGTTGCGCCGAGAGGTCGGCAGCGCGTTGTTTTCCCTTCCTGTGCCTCCGTGACGTCTTCCTGCCGGGGCGAGCCTCTGGGAGCCGTTTGAGGAGGCCCCGGGGCCCCCCGAGCGTGGAGGACGTAGCACAGCAAAAACCAATTAGCCTGACAGGGGGCAGGTGGGGGATGTGGAGGTGTAGGAAGGGAGCTCGGACCCCCAGCGTGCACCCCTCAACCGCCTTAAAAAAACTCCCTTTGCACACGGCCCCCAGTGTCACCGGGAGCGTCCCTCTGTCGTTTGGAGGACTCATTCAAAGCAATGCCAGACGGGTCCTCGGGCTCAGCTGTGTGTGTGTGTGTGTCCGCCTGTTGGACCAATCGCTGCAGCGTCTTTTTCAGACCCCAGAGGACAGACAGAGGCCCGCAGAGACTCGGTGGCTTTTTATATTTCGCAGCGGATATCTCAGTTATGAGATGTTGCAGTGAAAGAGAGGGAAATTGTCTATGCGATATGTTGCTCATGCTGCAAGAGAATGTAGAAGTTGAAAGCTGATAAATCTAGAAAAATCTAGTTTAGTAATTATCTGTCATGCTGGTTGCGTAACCGAGTTTAAGATTAAACTTAAAAGTGAATCTTCAACCTCTAATCTGTACGGAAGATAACTTTCTGCAGAACGTTATCTTCCGTATCGACCGCAGCATTATATTTGCATCCTTTTCCAAGATTACGCCTCAGCGGGGCTTCACCTTCTCTGCTCCAACGTGACCTCTGACCTCTCACCCCATCGCTCCCTGTCCGTTGGGCCCACAGCAGTGATTTATCCTTCTGACATACCAACAGCTGTGTTGGGGGCTCACAGTGGAGTGTGGGCTACTATTTGCCGTGACTAATCGATAACAGATTTTTAAAAAGCACCAATCGTGAGATCTGGAAAAAAATACTGCAGCCATTGACACCAGAAACCTTGAACCTTTGCTGAGGCTCTGCGGGTTTTATACAACAATGTCTTGGCAAGATTACCGGAAAGAGTGGAAAAGTGTGTCAGTGGGAGACATCTTTCCAAAAGGACAAAACCACTTAGTTGATGCTGAAGAAAAGATATTTTCAAATGGAGCAGAAGATTCAATAAAGTTGTTAATTCAGCATTTAGATGTGGAACAAAAACGGTTTACAATTTTGTCTTTTATAGGATCCAATCCAATCTACACTTCAAACCTTGTGAACCCAGCTTGTCGGAGCGAAAGGTTTGTGGGTCCCAGAAGGGAACACTGTCTTCTGTCTGTGCATCAGTGTCCCAGTCATTACCACAATCTGACATACAGCATAACTTTTCATGGCACAATTGTATTTGATGTCCCAGCAAAAACTAGGAAATCAGGAAAATAACTACCTTTATTTTTCATAAAATATATTTTATTTAAAACTTTCAGGTGGATAAAAAAGTTCATAAGTTTCAAACAAATGCACTGCATCTGATGCTTCTGCTTATGATTACATTTCTTGGTCAAGTATAAATAGTCTCTTCTTGATTTCCTTCATTTGATCCAGCATGTGTTTGCGTGTGTGTGTGTGTGTGTGTGTGTGTGTGTGTGTGTGTGTGTGTGTGTGTGTGTGTGTGTGTGTGTTTAAGTATGTGCTGTGTAACACCAGCTTTGACTCTTCCCTGAGAAAGTTTTTGAGGGTTGTCAGGTTGTTAATCGTTCACTGGGCTTCACTCAGCGTCCCATTCGCAGCGGACCCATTCTTCGCATCTTTAAACAGTCTTTGCCATCCTTTATCTGCAAAAAAAATGAGAAGAATATTTAATTTGTCTATTACAGAAATCTGTGCACAAATAAACTTGCAGCTTCATTGATCACATTATTATTATTGTCACATTGCAGATTAAGCTATTAACAAATGGTTCTCGCCATTTGAGTTGTACATTACATTCTGTTTTGCTCTCACAGTTATAAAAATAAACTAATAAATAATGTGTGAGAATGACACCTGTGTCTGGCTGCATGTGGAATTTAAAACGAGCGCCAAACATGTGCCGTGCGTTTAACGCACACCATAAAGCACTTTGAAACAGAATCAGATGCGACAAGATACAAAAAAAAATACCAAAAGGAAACCGCCTGTGTTCACGACGCATTTTGCAAATAAATAAACAAATTGTGTATAATTAAGCCGCCATGGAAAGAGAAGCCATTTACCCCTTTCCTCTGGTTGCTCAGGCAGAAGGTGCAGATGGTGCGCGGCTGCAGCGCCCCGCTCTCTCCTTGCGCGTGGACCGAGCCGAGGCACGGCTGTGCGTCGGCGCCGCCGTCTCCGAGAAGAAGCACGTTGGCCAGATGGGAGATGTAGCTGGACGCCAGTCGAAGAGTTTCGATCTTGGAGAGCTTTCTGTCCACCGGCTCGGTGGGTATGAGAGTCCGCAGAGCCGTGAACGCCGTGTTGACACTCTGGGTCCTGCCTCTCTCCCGTGCGTTAGCGGCGCTCCTCTGTTTCACCACCACCGGCGGCTCGCCATCCGGATTGCGCGAAATCCGCCTTCGTTTTTCGCCGCAGTCGCCGTAGCTCTGCTCCGAGCTGCCGTCGCTTTCGCTGCGGTTTTCGTCCTCCTCGGACGTGACGGTGAAGTCGGAGTAGACCAAGCGCGTCGCCACGGGCCGCAGCATGGCGAAAGTCATCTTTAAAAGAGAGTCGATCAGACCGAGCGCCGACGCGGGGACCGACCCGGCGCGTCGATGTGGCGCACAGGCCGCATGTAACCACCTGCGGCAACAAAAAGGCAGGATTTCAATGAAGCTAGCCGACTTTCCTCAAGTCCGTTTGGACGATGTCTATTCCAGGGATGGACACGGAGTACCTGCTCAGCTGGGCTCTTATAGCGCGGTGGGAGGAGCCGCAGGCAGCAGTCTTACAGTAAAAACACACTAATAACTATAAAGCGGAATATGCCACCGGAATTGGTGTGAATCACAAATTTCACAATATAGATGAATACTAGAGTGATACTTTAAAAGACAAAGTGATTCAGACATAAACAGCAGAGAGATATTGAACAAACATAAGCACTGGGTTACATATTGGGGGGTCATTGTTCACTTTAAAACGTATGGATCATAAAACAAACAAAATAACTATTGCTTCCCACAGTGTATCAGTACATGGTCTTGTACTTGGGTGAAAATTTTAAGAAAAACATTATGTATTATATTGCTGAATAGTTTTTCATAAACTGATGAAATGCTTCCGTACATTTGTTGTCAGAAAAGTAGCATAACAACAAATAAAGAAGATCAACCACAACATTGTACTTACGTACAGTAAATGTACCGAGCAGCTATAAGCACATTCCAATGTTAATGCAATGGAAACGTTTACGGGCATTTAGGGACTGTAGTTTGCTTTTCACTTAATTTACAGTTTACAATGTTGTCCTAGCCTGACATGTTTATGTTTATTTTGTGCTGGTAAACCACAAGACCAACATTAAAATCTTCACACAACTGCAGCAACATATAATTGTGCAGCTGTTTGGAAAACTACATTTAGTTTGTCCGGCCAATTTTCAATGTAAAAAAAGTAAAAAGTTCCTTAATTTGAATACATTTTTCATGAAGTCTGTAGCTCAATTGTTCAACGAGGTGTGTACCACAGCAGCAAACAGGCTCACGTTAGATGGAGGAAATAGTCCTTCTCTTAAATCCCCACGCTGAGAGGCCTGCACTTAAGGAGCAAACCCGAGGCGGCAGGAGAAAGTTGAGTGTGAGTAAACAAACAGAGGATCCTGGAATGGCAAACTTGCTGCCTGGAGTTTGAAAAAACAATACAGTGGCAAATGGACGATTTCGTCCCAGCAGGCTCCTCCGGTCACATTCAGCCACTTCAGTAAGGAATCAGACACCAAAACGGTCCGCTGAAGGGGTTCCTACGTCCTGTGAAGGACAAAGAACCGTCACCAAGCCAAAATGATGTTGCCTCTAACTGATATGAAAGTGTTGTGATATCTGATATGATTTGGTAAACACACCAAATCCCCTCGACTGTGAGCAAACAAAATGCTGCTGCTGTGTGGTTTATCACATTTAGAGAACACTCAGCATGTGTTGTCTTTGTGGGGCGTGTGAACCGCTTTGAGGGGGGGGGGGCGCGCGTGTTGACTTGGAGCTAAAGGCAGGAGTTCAAGCGTTCTTAGAAGACCTCTCGTGTTTCATGGAGCCGAGGAGCGCCCTTTCGCTCGTCAGGAAGAGGTAGATTAATTCACCCGTGCTGATGAAGCGACAGCATGTTGGTGTTTGCCACCCACCGAGTCCCGTGTGCCGTCGGGCCTCACCGAGCTCCGACGGCGGCGGCTCTGTCCGAGGAAGCTTTCCCGCCATTTAATTGGTCACTTTAAAAGATGGATGTTAGATCTCGTATACAGACATTTGTGTACTTTGTTGAAGCCTCATCTTTCTCTCTAGCGCCAACATGTTCGGCTTTTTGCAAAAATATCTCTGCGACTGTTCCATTTATAGCCATTGAAAACATCCAAATATTCACGTTCCCCAGGGGGTGAATCCTAATGGTTTTACTCTGAAGTGAAAACGGCTCGACAACTATCGGCTGCATGCCCCTTTTTGCAATCGCTCATGTTGCATTTAGGATGAATGGTAATAACTTCAGTGATCCCTTGTCACATCAAGTCAAAGATTTTAATTTGTTCAGTACTTACAAATCAAATGCAAAACATTGACCAAAAAAGCCAAATGTTGGCATAATAATGTGCTCTGTTTCACACAGGTGATGCTGAGTTGCGGCCATATATTTTACATTTGCATTCTGGTACACGGCCCAACAGAGGGAGGCTGTTTCACTCGCCGTTCCCCTTTGGTGATTCACAAGCACTGGGAAAGCGTGAATAATAAGAGCGCTGTGGCAACTTCCCACTCTGCGGGTTTCCTCCGTTGATGACACATTGGCTCACACGCTCCAGCCAAGAAAGCTGGTCAATGTCGTCCCTTACATCCATTTAAAAGGACAAGTCACCAGATGTAAATGATTTGTTTCTTACGGTCAAACAAATCACATTGAAAGCTAAAAAGAACAAGCAGAAACGGTCACTGAGGGATTTAGGAACCGTAATAAGCAAGCTGGATCTTTTAGCGACAGCTGGCGAAGCCACGTGGATGAACATCGCTAGTTGACATACATGTTAATTCATTCATTTAGGTGAATCACCCGACTGAGCACTTGTGTGTGACCTCACCTGAGCACATGTGAGAGGATGAAGGCAACTGAGCGCTAACTTGAGAAGACAAAGCTGATGGAGGGACGTGGTTGACCACAGACAAATCCTTCTATGGAGTCAACAAGTCCTTTTTATTTTTGGCCTAGCAAGATTTAAACATGCAGAAATACAACCGACTCCTGTGACACCTCATGTAGACTTCTCTAAAGCTACAGAGATGACGGTTGAGGGTTCACGTGTCAAACAGCGCCGGCATGGAACTAAGAATATTTGTTGTTTGTAGATAGAGCGGTCGCCCTGTAACCACCAGGTGGACGGTTCTCTTTCTCCCGTATGTCGAACCCCGAGGGACAAAAAGCATTATCATCAGACACAAAAGAATTTAACACAACTTACACAAGTTATAATAACCAAATGATACAATACATAGAATCATATAACAGATACAGAGGACATTTTACATTTATATTAGTACATAATACCAATGCTTTTAATAATTTAAGTACATTTTCCTGCATATACTTACATACGTTTCAGTGCAGGCCTTTAATCGTACTAGAGTATGTTCAGTGTTTCGTTAGTACTTTTCCAAACAGGATCTGAATACTTTGTCCACTGCGCACGGCGTCGAGGTCACAGGGTGGATACGGCATTGCAAATCTGGCACAAATTACACGGCTGTACTCAGCCGTAGTCTGAGGGAATTCCGGATAGGAAGCTGTGAGAAGTCTCGCCGCCTCAAACACCTAAACTCTTTCAAGAGGATTTGGTTGTAAAGCCCCCCCAAGTGGAACAAATGGGTGGACTGGCTAACCAGAGATTTCTTTTTTTTTAGCTGTATCTTAAATGTAAATGGACTCTAAACGAAAGCCAGAACCAAATTAGTATGATTTGTCAGGTAGTTTTATTCTGCCATAATAATACAACAATAATATAAAGGACTGAAAAATCTGGCTTGTAAACATTTCAAGAGATCGTGTCGCAGGGGGTAGAGAGGGTGTGCTGGGAAGCATAAGGTTGGTGGTTCGAGTCCTGACTGCCTCATGTTCCATGTCGAAAGTGTCCCTGAGCAAGACACCTAACCTCTAATTGCTCCCTGGGCAAAATGTAAAAAGCCATGGGTTAAAAATGTAATGTAAGTCGCTTTGGATAAAAAAAAGCGTCCGCTAAATGAACTGTAATGTAAACAACTGTCTGATTTCTGCCCTTTATTTCAAATTGCCTGCAGTAAAAAACAATTCATTTTTCAAATTTTCGGTTTGTACAACAGACGAGAGCATTTTACATTCTGTAGGTAAAACAATTTGGCGGGATGTGAAAAGTACAGAACAAAGTCACTGCAGATGACGTCGTTCTTTTGGACGAGTGAGTGATTTTCTCAGCCGCACGAAACATAATCAATCAACACATAACATCTCCACAGGCTGCAGACTGAGCTGCTGCTGTGAACAACAAAAGGCAATAACGTTCTGTGCTGTCAAGTCATTTCAAAGTTTCTCTAAAAACGGAACAATTAAAAATATACTTAAATTGTTGTAATTCTGACGGTATCAATAGATGTCTCCGGACACGAGGGAGTCACCGTACGTTGTTCAGTCATTTGAGAGTTGACACGGCCACAATCCATTTATGAAAATGTCCACAAACACTTCCTCTTCTCAGCCCACTAAAACCCCTTGATCTGCTTAAATCCTCAAAGACAAAGCGTACAGAACCACCCATGAAAAACGGCTCCCCAGAGCAACAGGTGCAATGAATTTTTTCATGGTGGTGTTACGTGTCAAAATTCCTTTGAGGATATGGTTACTTCCAGACACTGAGCGAGCCACAGGAAGTCCTCTCACACGCGACGATTCAGAGGAGAGGTTCAGAGTCCTGCAGGGCCGCTCGGTAAAAAGCTGCCCTCGGGTCTTCCTTCATTTCCTCGCATGGCCACAAAGGGAGAGCGTTAAGCAGCTCTGGGCTCGCATTGTTGGAAGGCGGTGCTGTCGGAAAGGCCTCGTCTCGGCGCCTTGTGATGTGTGGCGTGCTCTCATAATTATGCATACCTGCGGTTCCTTCCTCCAAGACACAGGGGCCAGGGAACTGCCTTGATTCAATTCGATTGCCAAGTCTCAAGGTTGGTACCGACGTCACACATGTACTTCAAGATCATGAAATGATGTTTAAGCACTCAAAATGATTGCTAAGCGTGTTATTTACTGTAAGTGGGATGCATTCGGACACAAGCAAGGTTACTTTTTACAAAATTCAAACAGATTTTGACTGATGGCACTTTAGAGAAGAAATAAAAGCTTTGAGAGTTTTTATACAATCAGCCCTTGACGACGGCAGGATGAGAGGAAAAAAGATAAATGAGGGAAGCAGACGACGAGTAAGAAACACCGATGACAGGAAGAAGGAGCAAACGCAGCAGGACTCAACAACATCTTGCATTTTGACTTGAAATCTTGTCAGCCTGAAGTTACGTCACACCTGACTCCTCCTGCACACCATCTGCTCTACGCGCTCCTTTCTCCTGCCTTATTGAGCTGTCCCATACATCACAATCAGTCGACCGTGCGTGAGATTCCATAAAGTGTTGCTTCTCTTTTGGAAACATTTGGTTGTTTGTCTTTTGTTTTTATTATTTCTAAAATTAACATTGGTGCATTTTCAATAGAAGGAGCTCAAATAGGTGCACTTGAAAGAAAGCCAATGGTGGATTAATTACACATTTTAATCACAGAACACATTTTGACCTGTCACAGTAGAAACCTGCAAATAATAAAATGAATGACAGCTGAATACCTTTAAAAAGATTTGTGTTGTTAAGAGTAACATTGTGCTTCTGCTACTATGACACCAAGTCAAATGTCCACTGTCACTTAACTGTGTCCTCTTATGAATGGACATTCTGTATTTGTTGTACAAAAAGAACTGTCAAGACGACGCTGCAATGTGAAATAGTGTCTTGAGGGATTTCAACTTTTTAATTGCTTTTGATGTTCACGTACAAGGATAAATCTATCTAAGTAAAATTAAATCCACTTGGTACAAATGCATAATTTACAAAACCAAATATGTTATCTAAATAGAATTTCATGACAAACGTGCTTAACTAAAGAGTTACATTTCCCCCTGCTGGTAAATCCTTTGTTCTACCAAGTGCAGCAGAGGAGTCAAAGCGGTGTCGGTGTGTGTGTTTCCGTGCGTGCGTGCGTGCGTGCGAACCACCTGAGCAAGGTCTCTCTAAAAGCCACTCCTGTCACCGCAGGTCGGGGGTCGAAGCTCCCAAGTAAGTGCTGAGGTCTGACACGTTTGATCTGATGAGCTTGGCTGGGATGCTCGACATGTTCAGCCTCTGATACGCAGCGAACCTGTGACAGCCTCCGAAGGAGTAGTAGTAGTTTCCTCCCTCTCTGCCCGTGATCCAGAGCAAGTCGATGGGCGGAACCACGCCGACGTCCGCTGTCTCTTGAAGGAAAGACAGATTGATTGTGATCTCATACAGCAAGTATGCAGCGGAAATTACGCCACCCCCCCTCCTCCCACAAAGAAAGTGTTTCTTCAAAAGACACAACACAAAACCATCGACACACGGTACTGGGATGTTGAAGAGGGAAACCACAGTATGAGTTAGTAGCTAAAGGTTATTACAGACATGTTCCTGTAGGAATTTGGTAAAAGCAGTGGAGGTAGTACTCACACTAAAGATATACTAAAATCGAGCAAAATATTCAAATACACCCCTTTATCAAACAAATTGTGCTTTCATGTATTCATGATTCAGAATGAGTGGATTATTACTGGATCATTATCAGTGTTACTGCTGGTACAGTGGATCCGATTTGAAGTACTTTTAAATAAAACCGGGTAGTTGAATAAAAGTGCATCCAGGGCCGTAGACATTATTTCAGTAAAACGCAGATGTTTGTGTGGAGATACAGGTTTACTGTGCAGTTAAAACGGTATTACCTGTATCGTGTTCATTATACTCTGAACTTTGAGCTCATTCAGCACCGGAGGAATCGGTCTGATGATGACGTGCATGGGGACGTTGTGAACCTCCTCGACGTTGTCCGAGTGAATCGACCTGTTGCTTTTAACGTCACACTGAGACGACTCCGACATGTTTCTGAGGAATAACACTGACACATTAACCCGTCCGGCTTTAGTAACGTGCCACAGGCGAAGCATTTCCCCGTCGACGGCACAGCAGGAGACGTGTTTGCGCTTCCTCACTTCCTGGATTCCAGTTTAATCACGTGGTGCAGTAACTTGAATGGAAGGTTTTCATTGGTCCTCCGCGCTGTCAATCACAAATGCACGCCTTAGTTAATGCCCGCTCCGGCCCGATTGGAACTAACGTTAGTTCAAGTTTAGACTTAAAATGTGAAAATTAAGTAAAGTTCTCTTTGTTTCTTTAGACTTTATGATGTTGGTCTGCCATTTGTTGCCATATGAATGGACAGGAGAAAATGCCAGAACCACAACACTGCTGCTCTGAAGCAACGTTAATTAACTTAACGTTAGCTAACTTTAATGTTAGCGCAGAAACAGCACCGTCTGTTCGGCCACGGAGGGGCAGCAGAAACGAGCCGTGGACTCGACCGACCACTTGTGAGTTGATAACACTGCGGTAACCCTTATAGCGTCAGTAGGCCTATATGTTATTTACACACCCAGTGGTCACGGCGTAACATAATAATGAATTTGGAGTCATGTTTATGTTTACCAGGTAAATGTAGGTCCAATATTTCTCTGTTTTTAGCTCTGTTTTTGGTCTCCACACCATCCAGCCGCTGAATGCTCCACCCTGTTACGGGTAACAAATGTACACTGACTTTTTGTTGCTCACAAAAACACCGTCCGTTAAGCTGAACTAACGATAAACATTGAAGTTTTGCCCAATGACCTTAAATTTAGAATAAAGCTCCAGGGAGCTGCTTAGATAATAATTCTCTAAAGCTCGCATTGACCCCTTTCATGTTTCACATTTTCAGTTAGCATTAAAATATCAATTATTGCCGCTCTAAATATATTTTCCTCTATTCCTTTTATATTCCCACAAGATGTTAACGTTAACAGTGGAATGTACAACGGTGTGTTATTTATCTCTTGAAGCTATGTCGATGCAATCTTACTGAAAATTGCATTTCGCACGTACACATTATGAGAAAGAGTCAGTTTACAGGTCACCCTGCTGTTTGTGTCAAAATGATAATAGTAATTGCAGAATAAATGCTTTCTTCCTTCAAAATATGCAATTTTATTGTCTCCTGACCATATTCAAGTTCAACTTGCAGTTCTGATGCAGTAACTTTGTCACAAACTTCGCTTCCACATTTGCATGAATGAATACTGTATTCAATATGGTTGTCAAAAAGTCATTCACAGACATAAAAACACACTGTATGTTTCATGGTGACATAACGTTTTAGGTGAATTGGATATATTTGGAAAGACGGAAGGCCACACCAGTCCCTTATATAAATCATTTGAAAATCCCATATTTTACAGCAGGAGAGTCTAAGCCCTTAAACAGAAGTATTTTGCCCGTTTTACGCATCAGACACCTGACACGCATCAACAATCAAAATTATTTAAATGAGCAAATGCTATACAATAGAAAAAGCCATATATAAAGCCGACTAAACAATGTGAACTATTTTTTTTTAAACTGTCAAACAGAACGTTAAGGGTCTGTTTCTTAGCATGTAAACAGCTCTGTAGTTGCGGTAGTTGTAGTATTTTCATGGCATGTACTGTACATGTAAAAATACAAACTATACCCCTTTTTTCAAGATAGCTTATTCATATAATGGCCAAATTGTTTCTCATTAAAATTCACTCCAGCAATTAGTCACGCTGTTGAAAAGAGCCGCTACAATCCCAGAATCCTTTGGTGACAATAGTTTTAATGAGGTCAGTTTTTTTTTTTTTTGTCGACAGTTGCATGATATAGGCTTCCTCCATCAAAGTGCACCACTTGGTGATTTTCTATTTTTGCAGAGATTTCAAAGAGCCAGCCAGGTTGCTGTGGTTACGAAAAAGGACGTCTGGGCCCGCAGCTTTGCACAGGTAAGTGGAAAGCTTCAAAGATCCGTGGAAGTGGAGCGGAAACAGAACTATTGTTGTGGTCTCCAACCCACAGCTTCGGCATCTTCTAATGAGACAATTAAAAATGATTTCTTGGACAGTAGAGGCAAGCCATCATATTGAATTATTACAAATTCTTTGAACTACAATGGCAGCACCTTTTATGTTGATTAATTGGTCACACAGGGATCATATAAAACGTGAAGGAGGTTTATATATAGTATGTAAGAATTAACAGTAGTATCAGTACATTTTACATCATTGTGGAATAAAACAACAAAATACACAACGTAATTCAGGCGCTTCAGTGAATGTAATGTACTTTTGTCAGGTGATAGCTTTGCGGCAACAGCATCAATCTGTTTATAATTTCCCCATAAACCGCTCAGCTCTGAAAGCCACCTCACATTTTCTACATTTTTTCCCTAAAGAGCAGTTTAGTTGGCACCAGTGTAGCATAAAAAACGCCTGACAAATTCCATTCAGACCGTAATATACTGACATGGATTGTGCAGCCGGCTGCATGACATGGTGTCTCTGTTTGAATATCTAGAGTATAGGCAATATGCATGGTGTAATATATATATATATATACACACCCCCAGGGCATTTATCACTCTATACAATGTCAATTTCAGCTTGCTTCTTTGCTGTCAATCAAAAAGCACCACTTCATCAGGCACCAAAGGACACCAGTATCACTTGAAGAGAAGAGAGCCTGTCCGTCAAGGCATATAGACATGTAAATCTTCCCCAGTGCTGAGGAGTATTTGGAGTCCCGCTACACTCTGTGTGACCCTCTGCTGTCACAGCAGGTCTGTACTCTAGTTGCTAGCACATCTCAATTACCTAGATTGAGTTAGTCACACAGGTACAACGACAGGTCATGGGAGAACAGTTCCCACATAATGATTTGCTGTTAATATTAGATTTCAGTCCCGGTGGGATTGTCACACTTAGAGCAGCCGGAGAAAATTACCTGCCAGCTTTCCGACAGGGAAGTGAGCTATATTTATTTTTACCGTCTTTTTTTTCTTTCTTTTACACGTTGACATGCTTTTAAAGTGGTAATCATTCTGATGGAGATTTTCAGTCTTCAAACTGTAGCTTTGTGATAGATGAATGTTTCTGAAATGGTGACACGGTTTAGCAACTGCGGGTGTTTGCTGCTGAATGTGCTCCTGATTTGTTCTCTCATATTGATTATTCACTAGTGGCTCTCGCTGCCCAAACCTATGAAATTGTTTTTTTGTCTATTATCTTCTATAATACAGCTGCCTGCACCGGGATGTTTAATGATCTTCCTCGCCTTGATATAATTTAGCTCACCCACGGAGAGAACTGTTGCGTTGGAGTGAGGTTGCTCAGATGTCTGAGCTTTGCTCCAAAAAAGTGGAAGAAATGTTTTTCCAGCTTGAATGTCAGCATAGAAAGCCACAAATACATAGTTAAAATGATCTTATCTATGACTGAAACAAATGATAAATATCACATCCGTGGTCCTTATTTCTGCACGTACTGTATATGAAGGGAAACATGAGCTATTTAAAGAGTACCCTCCTTGGCTTTTGCTTGAGTGCTGATGACAAGTTGGATATCTTAGATGCATAAAACTGCAATTTTGACATGACTTCAAAAAGAGAAGCATACGGATGAGGTGGACCCTCTGCCAACAGAGAGACGAGAAAACAGATGGGTTTTACACAAACAGCACAAACATCAAGAACACTGAGTTAAAGAGCTTGGCAGTCTCACTTGACGAAACAGTGAGGAATGGAGGCGCTTTTAATGAGCATCTCTCCTGTGATGCAGAATGGGAAAAGACAAACTGTTAGCTCTTAAAGGAGCAGTTACAGTTGGTTGGCCCAGTGCGAACGAGTCCATTTGTTTTACTAACGTCTTGATGAGTGACTGGTCACTATGCATACAGATTGGTAATAAGGAGAAACCCTAGATGGCCTATTGTAGATGATGTCCTTTGATTGAATTATGCCGTTGACCCAACGGCGCGCCGTCGCCAACACAAAAAGCTTGTTGTTGTTGGATTTTTTCAATGCTAACAGTTGGTGATTAGCCAACAGATGGCGCCAGATGTTTGAGAAAGGTCACAGCGCAGGCCGGCACCAGTTCAGGACGTGTGGAATTAGATAATAATAGTTTTTATGAAATACAAAGGTAACTTGTTGTTTGCTGTGTCACCTGTGAGCAGCTAAAGCCTAAATACTCCATTCAATGCAGAATTTCGGGGGAACAGTGAAACCTGCTTATAACATATTCTGTACTAGCACTGCAATTTATTTAAGGAATATTCTATAAAATGTAAAAAATTGCGAAACATCATCGCAAGTTGTGGAAGCTCAAAGTGACATCCCTTTAGTGACCAGCAGTCTAAAACACAAATCTATTCAGGTTAAATGACGTGGAAGCAGCTTTTAGACACATTTGAGATGCTTGAGAACAAAAGACTTTGTTTTATTCCACCGGCAAACTACTGCAATGATTCATCGATTATCAGAATTGCTACAGTATAATTAATCTGTTGATTAACAAATGAATTAATCATCTAATATGTATCAACTCCACTGTGATCTGAGCAATAGAGATAATCTCCCTGTGCAGGCTTAGCAGATCACAATTTGTATGATTTTTATGGCGCTGCAACTACTCAACTCTATAGATTATTTACAAGTTATTACAGACGTTTTTATTAACCGTCCTAGTTTAAGTCCTTCTGTCCAGAGATCCAAAGATATTCTGTTTACTATCACAAAAGAAAAATGGTGAATCTTCACATTTCAGAAGCTGCAAACTGAAACATTTTGGTATTATTGCTTAACACACAACAGTTAATCATCAAAATCATTTAGGTTTCTTTAGCAAGTAGTTCATATTAATTGACTTAATCAATTTTTCTCTTAATTTCTCTCTGTGTCATGTGTGAGCAAATAAAAGACACCAGTTGCCACTTGAAATGGAACAAACAATTTTCCGTAATAATAATAATTCCTTTCAATATTAATAGCATGTCCCTTTTCTGCGTAAACTGCATCATTCGTCGGCGTTTGTTTCAACAGTCATCTGCTGCTGTTCGTTGACCTTGTAGTGACCCCGCCTCACCACATCAGAAGGCCGTTAATCTCTCCTCTCAGTCGCTCAGAAGATGATGGCGTTCTCAGGTCAGCATCTTTGAAGTGAAGTGTTGCACACTCAAATCCTGCAGGTTGCTTTCAATAATTTACTCGATATGCTCTGAGAGTGTGCGCGTGGCGATGGGAGGCTGTCGCCGCGCTGCAGGGATGTGAAAGGCCGCGGTCTCCTTCTCCTTCCTCGCGGCGCCGATCACTCAGAGCGGCTGTTGTTACAAACGCGCACACACACGCACCCGCGCGGCTCACCCGCTGGTGATGTAATTGGATTGCACGGGTCCCCATTTTGCAGTCCATCGCCATGTAATGACATCAGTTATTTCGTTTCGTCATGAAATCTGATAAGGGACAACATCTGCCAGGGTAAAGTTTGAGTGAGCGCCGCACATGAATGCTGATGTGCGTCTCCCCCGCAACGTGATCTGCTGCGGGTGTGACAATCAACACTCTGCCGTGTGAACTTGCGATTTGACTTTGCACAAATGCAACACGCGAATACAGAAATGACAGTTTATTTTAGTTTCTCCTCAGTGACGTAAGCAAGCACCGAAGTCCGTGACGGAAACAATGGCAGTCAGTGCTTTCCCACAGCGGAGGGATGAGAGTGCAGCAAAGTGTCTTGTTTCTGAGTCCTCACCCGGCTCTGCCTGCTGTCTCATTATGCCGCTGCCGTGCCGCTGGAGGACACCGAAGGACACAAGCGATTGAATTCAAATGTTGTATATTCCCTGGAAACCAATCAAGAAAGGCGGCGGAATAATAATCCCCGTCCGCTGTCGTGATTCATTTTTATTTAGTTCCATATTTTTCTCGGGCTTTTGAGTCACTTAGAAAGAGTAGTCTCAGCATAAAATCAATGTTCCATTAAAATTTAATGACCGGGAAGGGCTTGATAGTGGTGGAACAGATGCTTCTGCTTTTGATAACGCCGACATCTCAGGAACTCTCAGTCGAAGCCATCAGGTCCTCTGACCGCTTCGGCTCTCAGCCGCAGCCAGAAACAAAGGATGTCGGCCTTTCTTTACGCCTGGTGACGTGAAAAGTTGCTTAATTGACAGCAAAGCTTATAAAATGCATCAAACAATGACAGAGGAGGCCATGACTATATTTACTCACTGTGTTCGTATTGACAAAAGGCAACTTCCAGTATTAACAATATAACAATATTACCAGTTTTACAAACACTATTTACGAATGAAAGTTGACCACTTGAAAAGAAACAACAGTGAACTTGGAGGTTCCTTGTGCTATTGTTTTTATTAATGTTATTGTTGTTATGGTTGTCATTGTTAATAATTGCAGAACAAGATAAATCAAAACACCCCTCAGCAATCATGGCTTACGTTTCTTCATACTCAGCTGGGAGACAGAGACAGAGAATCTGTGGAAAATCTTAATCAGTTTTTTTTCTTTGAGGACCATATGGAAGGTTTCAAGCAGCCAACCATATGTTGAAGGCTTTTGTCATGTAGATCATACTTTTTGGCACTTTTTCATTGCGCAGCCAAGCCGGGCACATAAATAAAAGAAAACATAAGAGCAAAATCATACGGAACATGATCAAATCTTTCAGAATACACAGAGTTTAAAGTTTTTTCGTCTGTAACTTACAGCAGAATGGGTTTTTAATCAAGACACTCCCTGATTCATCTGGCCCCTCAGACTGCAATTGGTACCTGTATTTGTCTTTTCTTTAAAAAAAAGAAAACAAAAAAAGAAAAGACATGGATAGAAAAAGAGCAAATAAATGTCTACATGCATTGTCATATTATTGCTGTGATATATATATACAAATATATTTACAAAAAGCATCAAAGAGGAACAATGTTTCCCTACATCTAAATTCAGAAGTTTGGAAGAATCAGATTGTGCTTTCCTTTCGCAAATGAATATTTCCTCTGAGGACGATCTGTAGTGCTGCCAGATCGGTACATTTCCAATTGAAGTTTTTAATGATCTCAATGCTTTTATCTGCCTCATTAAAACACAGACCCCAGGTTTTGGAGATGGGTTGTATCTCCATATGAAGATATAAAGACAAAGAAGAAGGAGCGCTATAGGAAGTGGGGACTCTGCATTAGTTCAATCATGCAGCGACATGCAGTCAAGTGTTTGTTGTGCGAGTTGATCGGGGGGGACAGGTGGTCCTCATGCAGTGAGTCAGCCGCAGCACAGGACGACGAGAGGGAGGACGAATGGAGCAGAAACTGCTCCCTTTTTTTGTTTCTCCCCCCTCGCTTTCTCTGTTCTGTTTCTTTTTTTTTTTGCGGCGAGCTCAGCATTACTGCGAACGTGTCATCCATTTGGAATATGCAAATAGCTGACAGCGCATTTGCCTGCTGGTGCTTGACCTTCCCCCCTGGAGGTCGCTCACCGACTCAATTACGCTGCCTATCTGCAGTCTGTCTGCAAACACCTGTTATCCTCCCACACTCCACCGCCCTCCGCCAATCCCACTCCGGCGCATCTCATCCCCGGTGCGTCTGTTTCGGATGCAGTTGGGACGGGATGGGGGACAGCCGGGTGCGCGTAGGGGGGGCCGCGCGGGGAGGGGGGGGGACAAATGATGAGGGAGTGGGAAGTGCATTACGCCGCATAGTATTATCAGAACAATCCCGAAAACTTTCTCTACCAAGACAGTGCACGACAAGAGGATTTACAACCTTTTGACACGTCAGAGAGCCGCTTTGCTGCGTGTAACCGCACAGAATCATTTTTGGAGCAGTTATGACTTTTAAGTGCTTTATTACATCAGTGACCTAAATTAGAATGATATTAATCCTGTTGTGTAACCTTCTAGCATTTCAGTCAAGTCACACCTGCCTTTTAAGTGATTTGTTTTCGCCCGGTTGCTATTGGATACAAGAGACAGTTGAAATAAGGATTATGTAACAGAGTAGCAGCCTTTTCTAGACGAATTAGCATCTGTTGCTATTTTGGACTCGCTGTATGAAGGATTGTTGCTCATAGTTATTGCATCACTGTTATTATTGCTTTTGCACCGTTGAAACCTTGTTGGGAATAGATTACACCCACCTCTTTATATAACCCATCGCAGTATTTTTTCATGGCGTTTTCTATGCATTTCTGGCATTCATTTATTGCCTGAGATTCAGAGACAAAACGGGTCAGAAAGTCGAAAGGATGCAGCGGACTTTTGTAAAACAGTAAGCTGGAGAGTATTATTGTGTTTTGTTTTCATCGTTTATTTTTATTGCCCTAAATCGACTGAAAACAGGACAGCTGTGATTGTTATACATGTCAGTTGCTGTGTCAGTAAAGTTATTGCCACGAAAACAAAAGTTAATTCTGCATTCATTCGTTTGAAGTCTCCTAACACTGGTACTGTACATTGTTCCTCTTTAAAAAACTAAGTCCCATGGACTCTCTACAGTTTTCATGCATATAAACATTTTCTTTGAAGATCAGCAGCATCTTACAAGGTCAATGGATGTTCATTTTTTGAAATTATAAACAATAAATAAATACATGATAATTAACAAATTAGCAAGTCTTCAATAAATACACAAAAATAAGGTGAATAAATAAATAAATAGATAAATAGGTATAAATAAAGTATATACATGATAAATAGATGGTATGCATCTAAGCCGTGGGCGGAGCTTTGAGCGACATATAAAACAGACAAACAGAATCATTTGACTGTCGCTTTGTAACTGAGGGTGTGTGAGTCCATACCTTCACTCTGAGGTAACACTGGCGGAGGGGGAGCACCTCAAATAATGGGTGAAGATTGATCTCCAGGACTGAACGATGCACCATGAAGGCAGCAGAGTTCATGCAAGCCACCATGGTGGAGGAAGAACAACGAGAGTTTTCATTGCTATAGACAAGTCAACCGCACATGGCACTTATAACAATAGATCATTTGGTCTGGCTCCCAGTGTTTAGTCCAAGTCTGTACATCAGGGCGAGACTATGAATTTGATGTGTGAAAACCTGTTCAACAGGCCCGGTAAATGTTTTAAAATCACTGCTCTTGCAGAATTGAATTGAATGACCTATGGCCTGTGATGGTGTACAGCTTGTTTAAATTAGCCTCTTTTGTTTTGTTTTTACAATACCCACAGTTACAAAGATGCTTTAGATCGACAAGGGATAATAAGCACAAAAAAATAAATTTAGAAAAATCAAATAGAAAAATAACATCCGTTGAATTGAAACATTGGTGTGGAAAAAAGGGGGTTTGTCTTTTACCTTTTAAAATGATCTCCCTTTTTTGCAAATACTGTCATAGTTCACATTTTCATAAAAAGTTCATGTTGGCAGTTGCAAAAGAATTTAATTCTTAGCAAATAAAAAGCAGCATAAAAATACAAGAGGTCATTTTGTCTCTAAAAAACAAAAGAACACTGTTAGTCCTTTTTAATGTTTTTTTTTCATTTTCTCATTACTATTTGCTATAAAATATCAGGAATCTAAATATTATTACTATTGATATCAATTTCATTATAGTCATTGATAAAAATTCACATGCCAGGCCTCATATATAATTGTGTGTATGTGTGTGCACACGTGTGTACATTTGTGTGTGTGTGGCTGTGTGTGTGTGTGTGTGTGAGAGTTTGTGCGCGTGTGTCCATTTGCATACATGTCTGGTTGTAAGTGTGTGTGTGCTTACATGTACCCACGTCCGTGCGCACACATGTTGCTTAATGGTGTACAACTACCATCTACTGTCTCTATTTGGGGGAAGGTTGTTTGATTGTATGTTTCTGTGGACGATTAGCTACTGTGCAGGGAAAAAAATCCAGCATCTTTTGAAATTGTCTTTGCCATAATCAGCTTCTTCACGTAATCTCAGTGAAAATATTGCTTTCTAAAAAAGGGGAAGAAAAAAGGCATGGAGGGCAGAGTGAACAGGGTTATTGGTTGTGAACCTACAACAGGGGTTCAAAATTTCGCTTCTTCCTCGTGGTTAGTTTTCGGATCCGGAGTCGTCCTCGTCCGCAGAGCCCTTGAAGCAAGCCGACTCGTAGTGCTTGTTCAGGTAGGACTTGAGAGCGAAGGTCTTATTGCAGCGCTTGCATCGGTAGTGCTTGAAGGCAGAGTGTGTTTGCATGTGGGCGCGGAGGTTTGAGCGGTCAGCAAAGGCTTTGCCACAGTGTGCGCAGGCAAAGGGCTTTTCCCCCGTGTGTGAGCGCATGTGACCTTGAAGGAGCCACGGTCGGCTGAAGGCCTTGCTGCACACGTTGCACTTGTGCTTGAGGTCGTGGGTGAGGATGTGCATGGCCAGCGCCGGCATGGACACGTACACCTTGTTGCAGGTGGGACACTTCCTGGCCATCTTGCTGTCCAGGCTGCGGTGCGTCTGCTTGTGTCTGCTGAGGTTGGAGGAGGTGGCGTACGTCTTGCCGCACTCGTTGCAGGAGTGGCGAGCCGTGCCGGCGCCCCTCTCCTGGGCCCCGCCGTTGGCGCTGCTGCTTCTCGAGCCCCCCTCGCGACTCTCGCTGTCCCCCTTCCGCCTCGAGCGACCGTCGGAGATGAAGAAGGCATCCATGGTGTAACCCTCGGCCAGGGCCTCCGATTCACCACTGTAGAAGCCGCTGGCTGTCATGCCAGACTGGGGGCTGTCGGGTTGCTTCAGGTCGGGGTCGCAGTACTCCTCGCCGCTGCTCACCTGCGTGTAGAGGGGATCTGACACCGGCGAAGCCAGCTTGTGCTCCATCTTCTTCTCCCCCTGGTATACAGATGGCGTGATGTAATCCTGGATGTAGCCTGAGCAAGAGACACACGCAAACACAGTTGGCCAGGGGTTGTGATGGATAAGGACACAGTGACATGTTGCTGATTGCATGATTATCATGTTGGATGATTGCCCTTGGTTAAAATTGGTGAAAGTGACGGCACGGAGCTAATTGCATTTTTTTCCCCCAGAACGCACACGTTGCAGACAATAGTGCAGTGATGCAGGAAAACATGACGCACGCAGCTGCGTCTGGGAAGGTTGCAATTTTTACAGTGAGGACGAGCGCTGGATAATAGCTCATCAAAGCTATCCTGCGGAGAAAGATGCATATTAATGCCCCTCTCGAATAAAGTGGTCTCATTCATTAGACCTCCTTTTCTTCCTTTATGGTACGTCAGTCCTCTTTGGCTGTGGCCTGAATGAATGCTCATTTAATAACTCCAAATCTCAAGAAATACTTTTTTTGTATTATATAATGTGAGTGTTCTAAAAAAAAGCACTCACACAAAACAAAACAGGTTGCCTCTGATTGGCAAACAAATGCATTTTTATAGTTTTGGACCAGATGAACTCATCACATCCTGCTGCTTAGATCCTGTAGGATTTCATGCTACGTTGAAGCATGTTGCAGCAAAGCACAAAGCACCATGAGTGATTTGAATCGTACAGAGCATTGATTTCGGAGAGATATATTTTTGTTGGCATCATTCATGTCTTTCCTTTCCCTCCGAAGCCAGAACAGCACCAGAGCTTGCTGGCAGCTAAATGCATCCAAGTAGAATTCAATACATCTGTATGCTCCTAGGAGCTGAATTAATGCTAAATGCAGTTACCTCCAGGGTTGATATTCTATCAGTTGATCTGACGAGTGAAATTATAATAGGTGGTGAAATTCTTTTCCTGGGAGAAATAGTGCATAACTGCAGAAAAAAAAATACTGAAGCAATGTGTGCAGCAAGCGGTGGAAATTAGGTATTGACTGCTTCTTAATGAAATTCAAAGTTTCGGACCAATCAATAGGCTATCATATGTAAAACAGTGCAGCTGCTAGAAAGAATAGAAATACTGCGAGGAACAGATCAAGTATCTGCGACACACAATAGTTTATTGAGCCCAGTGTGCTTGAGGCCCGATAATGTGAGACACGTGGCTCGAGCTCTGCAGCCGCAGCGAGCTCACTAGAGGGCCTTCAAGGAACAGGGCCATTAAGAGATGCGTTGAAGTGGCCTCTCACTGCGGCGTCCCCATTCCTAAAGGTCTCCGTTCACACGGCCACTCTGTCAAAGACGCGGCCGTGACGCCCGGTGAAAGGGGAACACCGGGTCTGTGCGTTCACTATTATGCCGCACCGCATGGCTCCACTGTTTTAAACTGCGCAGATGGCGCGAGAGCGCTGCACTTCCTTTTCAAAAGTCCTGTCTATTCATCTTTTTGTTTTCTAAATTCGTACGATCACAATTACATGTGCAAATGCTGCAGCTTCAGCAGCGATTCCCAGCTACAGCCACCTGTTTTCGCAGCCAGACTGCAGACTGCGACCAGCACGTCCGAAGGGCCTCAGCACCGTGTACAACAACATGGCCCCGATTTCCTGATACCGAACATACTGTACCACTGGAAGCAGAGTTGTTTACTATATTACCAAGGTCAGACACGGAGCTCATCATTCAGGACGCGCGCTGTATCAGCCTTTCCGGCTCACAGGCTGGTTTCTCTCATGCAAAGTAAGCATGTAATTAATGGACCCTCTCAGCCACCCCTCATTGTTGTTCGACAGACACTCAAGTCAAATGTCTCCACAATGGGGGGAAAGTAAATCTCATGCACGGCAGAAGTGCTGATGTTAGGTGTTTCAGCCCCGCTGTGAATTCTTTTATTTTCCCCAATCCTTCTTCTCTTTTTTTTTGGAGGACTCAGCACGAAAGGATTCTTTTGTTCAAATGAAATGCCTTTTGTCAACACCGGGCGTAGTGCCTTATCGTGCTTTGCTTCTTATTAATGCAACCCTTATTTTTCATGGTGTTGAACAAAAGATTTGGGAACAATAGAGAGTGAAAATAATTACATACTTTATTACGATTTAATAATGAAGCAAGATTGTGCAGCAGGAAATCCAAATCAATCCAAAGTTACTAAAAACATGTTTTTAATAAATACAAAAAATAATGTTTTATTTCTTAATTCTGTAGATTAGTTATTTAGCAAAGCGTTCCACTCCACAAACCAGCCCAGACATTTTTAATACCACTAATCCTGTTCCATCTAAAATTCAGCAAACCCTGTTATCGCCACGGTTGAATAACAGGTGGGCATCATCTCAGCATTCAGCTGTGGCCCGAGAAGCCTCTCTCTGCCAACGCATCCCCAACAAATCACAACAAAGACACACATATGGCCCTTTAAACGTGGCCACAAAATGGAAGCGGGTGAGCCTAAAGCGGAGCGTTAAAGTGAAGGTCGCCTGGCGGCTCCGACCGTGCGGCCGGCCGCGTGTGCTGACCACAGTGCAGCTATGTGACTTTCGTCATGTTTACTGTACAACCTCTCGTCACGTGATCAGCCTCACTGCTGCCCCAAGCACTTTTGTCTCTCTTTTTCTCTCCTCTGCTCCGCCGTCCCTTCAGCCCAGCTTCCCCGCCTCCCCCCCGGCGGTACTGTACAGTGTGTTGACGTCTCTCGTGTCGGCGATAGGCCTGCGCGGCTGAAACCCTAACCCCCCTGCTAGTTTTCAAATGCCCGGAAGGAAAGGAAAGATGTGGTGGAGCGATGGGGGTGGGGAAACTGTGCATGCTCCATTTGGATGGGAAGAGGGGGGCAAGGGAGGATCGGACGGTGATGGAAACCCAAGGACAATAACAGCTAAGGACAAATGTATCATCCGATACTCATCTCTCATATTCATGAATTTGTTAGTGCACGTGATGACCAGATATAGTCAGCCCAAGTGCGCTCAGCCAACACAGGGCTGGTGCAGTCACACAAACACGTAACTGCTTCTCCCGGTTATACACGCGTTTGCTTCCCTATTTACATAAGCTAATCCGTGGCTGTGACCTGAATTGTGTCTGTCCTTCACTGGAGTCAAAAAACAAAAGTCTGGGAGCAGGGGGATGGGGGTGGGGTGCCACTGGAGAGGATTATTCAGGATACCGATGCAGAAATCAGCTGGCTGTGTGGAACATCTCACATTAATTTACACACTACGAGAGAAAGGAAAGAAAAAAACCCTACGTCGACACAAAAGCAAAAGAGGATGCCATCTGGGCTGAATGTGGAAATGTCCGGCGTGCTGAAATGAGCGCCGGAGCTGTCCACGGGCAAGCACGAGCGCGAGCACGTCTTTAGCCGGAGCGGGGCAGACCGGAGGCACGTTAACTCACCATTCTCGCTGAGACGGACCCCGAGGCTGGTCACCGAGTCTGTGATGGAGCGTGCAAAAGTGAACGAGTCGTCCAGGTGGTGGTGGTGGTGATGGTGATGGGAAGTGGCCACATTGGACGAAGAGAAATCATCAAGCTTGATCTTCTTCACCAAAAATGAGCGTGGCATGTTTCAATGGATAAAAACACAGAGCTGAGAAAAACGCATGAGAAAAAAAAAAGGAAAGACCCTGTGAAGGAAGCACACGAGCAGATCTGTCTTGACGGTAAATCCTCGCAGTTAATGTGGAGACAGCAGCCAAAAAACATAAGATAAGAAAGGAAATGGAAACCAGCGAAGAACAAGGCTGACGGCAAATGCTGTGTGATACTCTCTGGCTCCCCCAGCTTTCCCCCCCCTCCTCCCCGAAAAAATGAAAAAATGAAAAAATAAAAGCGATCCTGTTCAGCACTGGATAGCTCCTGTGATGCGGCAGGCTTCAGGGACCAGTGAGGAAGAGAAGAGATGGAGACAGACAGAGAGAGGAGGGAGAGAGAGAGACTGTCAGACTAGCTGAGATCAGCAATCACGCCGGCCTTTATATGGGGCACAGGCAGGGGGAGATCAGGTGGTGCTGCGAAATGGAGCTGCTTAGCTTTAATCCATCAAATGTCCCCGGGGACACACATCAAATTACTACTGAACCGTCTGTGCATTCGCACACAGACAGAGGGGAAAGAACACAGGCAGACCCCCACTGCCCCCACCTCTGCCCCCCACCCAACACTCCCCCCTCCGCCTCTTCCCCTTCCCCTCCCCTCTCTCACCCCGCTTATGCTCCATGCTCGGAGGAGGAGTGAAAGAGGAGGGCAGACAATGGAGACGTGGATGAGAGCACACTCGGGGTGTCCATGCCCCCCCCACCCTCTATTGTTTTCAGATGAAGTGTCACAGTTTATGTTTGCCTTGTACAGGCGCTGCCTCCCCCGTGTCACCTCTGTTACCTCAAACAGCCTCGAAACGAGTCCGTCCCCCCGGTCACGTTGCTCGGTGCGGGGGAGGTCATCCAACCGCTGGACCTTTTTCCTTTTCTTTTCTTTTCAAAGGCGCGCTGGATTCCGGCAGTGTTGGCGAGCCGGCTTTGGGGGGGGGAGCGCTGGTGCTGCGCCGCTCAGCACGTCTCGCTCCCTCCCCATTACCGCTGCACAGATGTGCGTCCTGCCATGCGTGGCAGTGAATTATCTGATTAATTAATTACATCTTTTTTGATTAGGGTGAAATCTAGAATTAGATCCGTGCTCACAAAATTGGCTGGATGTATCTGGGTTGGTTTGCCTCTGCGTGGACCCGTTGGCTCGCTCTTCTGATACATTATACATCGTATTTCCACCATAAGAGCTCAACATCCACTTATCGCTTGTTACAATGCATTCAGTTCAATACATACACTGTAATCTCGTGGTAGTGGTGAAAGGCAGCAGTGAAACAGACACTGTGTACCTGTTTGATTCCATATCAACAGGAAACACTTGTTTGATTAGTTAAAGGCTCACAAGAGTAAATGTACTGTATATTTCTGACATATCGTAATATCAGTGGATGAAGGACAGGCATCAGAAAGAAGTGCAGATCTTTTTATTTTTTTTATCCTATTTTTTAGCCGCATGTGTTGTTTTTCAGTGGCTTTGTCACATGGATCCCAAACAGATATATTAAAATTGCCATCAAATTAAATAGACAGAAATCCAATAAAGCATCACGTTGGTCAAGCTGTAACCACAGTGCACCAATTAGTGGATCAATTTTCAAAATCATTTTCTACAAATCAATTGTTTCAACCTTGTTAACATTTTACTTCAATTTATTTTCACTCAAAATACCTCTCTGTGCATAACTAGTAGTTTGGCGTTCACTATAACTCATTTCATAAAAACATGCTTCCAGTGTTTACAACAAAGACACGACGACCACTTGTGGATTCGCCGCGTGGCGACTCATTACATCCCCGCGCCGTGATCAGGTGAGAAGGTTCCTTCTCATAACAGGTTGAACGCTTCTGGTCCTTGTTGTTGATCGGCGGCCGGCTGAAAAGGTGCCGTAGATCGCGGCGGACGTTTAGGGGTGCCCCCTGGCCCGGGTCGCTTTAAATCCTCGCTGCCGCCGACGGTGACCCTGCAGCTCGGACGTGGCGGCTTTCTGGAAGGGAAGTTGTTAAATCAGAGCGGTCGGGATTTATCACACACGCGTGTGGTTGTACATTACAGCGCGGGTTCACATTGCTGTCAGCGAGCCAGGCGCGTCGTGCAGAGGCAAGGACGAGAAAGGTCGGGGCGGGGGGGGTCATTGGGAGAACTAATGTGCTTCGGGGAGGTTTTTTTTTCTTTATTTGTGGTGAAATGTCTATTTTAATAAACACTCTGTTGGATGAGTCAGCTTGGGAAGGAATTTTTTAATCAATTCCAACTCTTTAATCATCTAATTGCACCAGCCGATAAGTCACTCCTCCTGCCTTCAACGGTAGCTTCTGATGTTGATATGACGATTTCTTCGTGACATCAATTCTTTTGTTGATGTTTTGTTCTTCCCACAAAGCGGGGAGGTTAAATGAGCTCCCGTTGACCTTTTCGGCTGCTTTCTTATAACCGAATGTCTGCAGAGCTCTCATCACCCTGCTCTTTGTGCAGTGCAGCGTCTACCGGTTTTTGTATCACTCAACAAATCAATTGACTAATTGTCTCCGATTCTGCCACTTTTTTTCAATTCATGTTTTCCCAAACTCTGCTGTTGGAATTATTAGAGTTTTCAGCTGAACTTTAGCATAATCTGCACATGAGCCTTTGCACCGTTCCCCTGCGTATGACGCTTACTGATAAATGGAAGAAATGTGCAACAAGTCAGCCACAGGTTAGAGGTGAATTGAAACAAAAACCGCTGTGATTGAAACGTCTCTAAGGCCAGTTGCTTCTTCCTCCTCCTCCTCCTCCTCCAGTCCACTTATGGCCCCCCCACGGCCTCTGACATGTGGTCACTGCCTCAGGACGTTACCATAGCGACCAACCCCCTCGGGCTGGAGGAATGGTTTTTACTCGGCGGTGCAGAGGCAGGAGCTGCGCTCCGTTCAGATGGGAGGGGGTGTCGGGGCCTCATCAACATCCTGTATGGCCCTCCAGGGTCTATGGAGACGACCCGACCGGCCCCCCTTTTCACACCGAACTATCCACATAGATGTATTACCTTCCTTTACAGGCACATGAAGTCTGTTTAATCACTTCATTTACAGGCTAATTTAGACACCTGACATTACCAAACACTAAATGTGATTTCCGCAGCGTCTGACTCTTGGTGCTGCTTATATAACGTTACTTTGGGCTTGTTGGACTAGGTGAAGAGATGCTGTTAGAGTCCATTAGGCAAAGCCATCTATAATTTACCTCACTCTTGCTTACTGGGTCACTTCAATGAGGCTTTTTTTTTTTTTTTTTCTTTTAGTTGCATGCTGCTGCTGCGGCAGGAGACCGCCGTGATCTTCAGAAAGACAAGAGCGGCTGCTTATTAAACACCTATGAATAGAACACGAACACACGCTGGATGCAACAAGTATTCGTTCAAGAACATTCACGCTTAAACGCATGTTGTGGCAGCTTGCATGCATGTGGTTTCTACACAGAAACCAATCGGACATGGCTCAGTAAAGAAGGTCAAGAAACTAATATTTAACATTTTACTGTGGATTTCCAGTCCAACAGGAGTCTGAATGGCCTCCCGAGCCGTACTGTATCTAATGCTGTTTGGCAGATAGTTCAGAGCATCACTCATGCCCTATTTGGCTTGTGTCTGCCGGTTGTCCTGCATGCATCTCGGAGCGTGTGTGCATTTGTTGTCCATGGGCAACTGTTCAGTAAATAGGGCAATTAAGTGTGAAAAGCAGAAAGGAGCTAGCATGTTCCTATCTCTTTGGTGGGGGAGATAATTTATGCTAATAACATCTCTACCGCTCAAGCTGCCCAAAAATGATAGCAGACCCTTTTGGCTACAGAAGAATCTTTTCATCCTCTAGTAGAAAAGGGAAGAAAAAAAAGTGGTTTCTTGACACCTTGCAAATAAGACAGCTGTGTGGCAGTGAATGAATCCCCCCCTCGCCTTTCATCTCTAGATGATAATCTTTTCTCCTTCACTGTCTTGTATGGCGCATGTTTGTTCTTCATTTAGCCTGTGGAATACTTGAACCCCCCCTGCTCTCTCTTATAGCCTCGCACCCTGCACACAATCTATCATCGTTTCCCCCCCAAGAGCCGTCACAGGAAGTAGCAGCGTAACGCGTAAATGTATTACAGCAAATAGTGTCCCATGTGTGAGGGATGTTCCTTAATAACACTTGAGGAGAAACTTGAGCTCTGTATGATGTTCATGTGGCATAAATTCCTCCATGATACCGGGCGCACGGAGGCTGTGGGTGTCTGAGAGCAGGGGGGCCCCGGGACGACAGATCAATAAATAACCTCAGTGAAAGTGGCAGCAATAAAGCATATAAGATCTCTAGCAGCCAGCGCGCCATCACGCTCGGCGAGGCGCTCCGGCGTCAGCCGCCGTAGAACAAATGTGTCCGCCTCCAAGGCTGGGGCTGTTTTCTTTACTGCGCACACTGAGCTCGGCCGATCACAACGTGGCTTTACAGTTTTAGACATCGGGTCTCGCACGTCTCATGCGGTAAATGTGGAGCTAGCGGGGCTAGAAGTAGGGGGACGGAGGGCCAGCTGACTGGCACCTTCCTTGGAGCTGTGACCGCCTTCATTCCATAATTCTCCTTCACACATCAGTTGTGGAGCAAGATTGCTTCCTAGAGAGAGAGAGAGAGAGAGAGTGTGTGTGTGTGTGTGTGTGTGTGTGTGTGTGTGTGTGTGTGTGTGTGTGTGTCCACCTGATGAATGTTAGTCCAATATCACTGTTTTTTGTCTCCCACTCCTGAGGGAAATATCTGCCAAATTTGCTAACTTGGTTTGAAAAAATGCAGCAAAGCTCTGAAGGTTCGAAAAGGGCTGCAGATTCAAACAATAATTCAATTAATTAATAATCGTTTGCTTTCAAAAAGTAGTTGTGCTAAACACAAACCACACAGGAGTTAGAATCCTGACGTGTGTCCATCCCGAGCGTAATCAACTCTTTGTTCTTTATCACTGCTAATAAACTGTCCCTTTACTAATCCTACTGCTGTTTTCCATTACAATGCTTAACTTTTCCCATTAACAAGGAATATTTCCGTTTCTTCATTGTTTTATTGTCTCCCAAATGTTATTTTCTATTTCAAAAGGAAGCTGTAATCATTTCATTCACTGCCAGAGACACACAGTTTAGTGTGTTCCCAGTAATACACTTTCATGTTCCAACGCTGTAATTAAACCTTTACTACAACAGTCATCATCGCACCTTGCTCTGATTTATCGAGGAATAATTGTTCAGATAATCTTAGTTTAAATGAATCGGTTTAATTAATCACCGCTGCGTCCTCGCCCTCGCCTTCTCAAAGAAAGGCATTGTAAGGCTTTTCACATTATGTTCCATCACGAAGGTCAGAGCGCCGGGTAATAGACTGTCATTTCCAATTTGTACTTCCACGCAAAGGAAGAGCA